CGTTCGTCGGTCTTTTTTTCCCTTTTTTTCGAAAAAAAGGTTCCTTCGTTTGCCCGCTGGCCATCGCATTTGTTTCCTCTTTTCCGTAGAAAAATATCCTTCGTTTGTTTCGGCGAGACATTCCTTTTCATAAAAAGTTTCTTGCGGTTAGTGGTTTTGGGAACCCATGGAAACTGCATCTTTGATGCCTTGGGTATCGCATGGCCGCTTTCCATTCAGTCATTTCATGTCAGTGGATTTTGTGGACCTTTTTTATAAAAGTTGTTACTTTTTCATTCTGGATTTTTTGTTTTTTCTTCTTGTTTGTGTTCGCCTTGCTTTTTTGGTGACTGGAAATTCGGAATTGCACGGTGTGCAGGATATCCTCGAATTATGGATAAAATGATTTTAATCTCTGGATAGTTCGTAATAGTACTGAAATAGTTGTGCTGCACAGTTGAAAACAACCTTGATCACATTGGTAGGTGACACGACCGAGTGTTTCGTAAGGGGCAGCAGGGGTAGCATCTTTGTAAGGCAACATCCTTTTTCTTAGCATGCTTTAAAAAGCTCCTTCGTGCATGCACTTGACGTGCCACCCTCTGCACGTAATGTTCCTTACCGCTTTTTGACATCGTTGTTCTTTCCATACTTAAAAACGCCCCATCGTGCATGCACATCGCGCGCCACCCTGTGCATGTCGTGTTTGTTTGCCCACGTTTGTTGGTCGTGGCCGCATTGCCATCCGATTGGCGGACAGGGTGTAAGGCGAGAAGATTGATGGCGAGAACAGTGGATGCTGAGAAGAGTGGATGGTGAGAAGAGTGGGGTGGGAAGGGTGCATGGTCGGTAGCCTTGATGGCGAGAAGGGTGGGTGACAGCCTTGATGGCGAGAAGAGCGGATGGCGAGGAGAGTGAATGGCGGGAAGAGTGGATGGCGAGAAAAGTGGATGGCGGGAAAGGTGGGTGACAGCCTTGATGGCGGGAAAGGTGGGCGGAAGCCTTTATGGCGAGAAGAGTGGATGGCGAGAAGAGAAGGGCGGATGCCTTGATGCCGGGAAAGGTGCGGCGGAAAGATGTATGGTGTGGGTTCTCGTTCAAACCCGAGCATCGGATGGCGGGAAGGGTGCGTTGAAGTCCGACCATCGGATGGTGGGGCGTCGCGTTGAAGCCTGACCGTCGGATGGTGGGGTGTCGCGTTGAAGCCCGACCATCGGATGGTGGGGTGTCGCGTTGAAGCCCGACCATCGGATGGTGGGGTGTCGCGTTGAAGCCCGACCATCGGATGGCAGGATGATGGCGACACAGTCGGACGGTCATGCGGTCGGATGTTCGAAGGTTCGGGGTTCAGGTGAGGGTGGTCGGACGTCAGTATGGTTGGACAGTCGAATGGTCCGACGGGCGAACTGCAAAATTGTTGGCCGGTGGGCTGGTCGGTTTGTCGGATGGCAGGATGGTTGGCTGCTCGCTTGGTCGGATGGTCGGATGGTCATACGGTCGTACGGTCGGGCGGTCGGACGGTCGGATGGTCGGATGGTCGGACATTTCGGGCCCGTTCGGGTGGTCGGACGGTTGGCTGGCAGGATTGCAGGCTGGTCGGGTGTGGCGACGGTCGAATAGATGGTTTGATGGCCGATCATTTGTGCCTTACGGTTCAACTCAGGCTCGTCGGCTGCCGGGATGGTTGGACAGTCGGATGGTCGGACGGTCGGATTGTAAAATTGTTCGAAGGCGGGATGCTTGGACGGTCGGAAGGCAAGATGGTCGGCTGGCAGGATGGTGGGACGGGCATGTTGGCGGGATGCTGGGGTAGGAGGATGTTTGGATGGCAGGACGGTCTGGTGGCCGGATGGCAGGACGGTGGTTCAGGGTCTAGGGTTCAGGGTTCAAGGTCGGGTCCGACTCCCTGGATGGTGTAGGGTTTAGGGTTCTGGCCGGGTCGCGGGATGGCAGGATGGTCGGATGGTCGGGTTGCG